TTGATCCAAGATCGGTATCCTTGATAGGAGCTCGATCTTGCGGGGGCATGATAACAGAGAGATTTTCTCTGATAAAAGAGAGATATTCTCAACTGCATAGCAGATGAGATTTCCTCAACTGCATGAGGAAATCTCTCTGCTCAGCTAAAGAAATATCCTCTTTCACTATGTATAAATAGACTTCACATGATACTAATTGAAGTGTGCCTTTTTGCTTTATCCTTATAATTTCATTCTTCATTCTCTCATTGTGGATGATATAAAAAGCTAGAAATTGTGGAGGTAGTTTTTAGACTCTATTTGATTTTTATGAAAGTTATCCACTTATCTTCGACTATCAAAAGTTAAAAAATAATAATTTTATTTTTAGAAAAATCAAGGGATATGTCAAATCCTTTTATTTCTTGGAACCCTCCTTATGCATGAATATATTATTATAGAAACTAATAATATAAATGTTGTTGCAAATACTTCAAAGGGTTAATTCAAACTTATTGTCGGATGAATATATTATTAAAGAAGCAAATGACATAAGTGTTGTTATAATCATAATCGACTAATTATATATTACCTCCTGTAATTAGTTATCTTTAACGTTCTAATCCTTATACTTTTAAATATTATATTGAAATCTCTATACTTAAGAAAATAAAATATTTAATCTTGTTTTTCCTTGTCCCGTTAACTTTATTGACAGAAATACAACAAATGCTCAATGGTAAACCGTAAAGTATTTTCATCAACAAAGTTAACAAAATATGATAAAAAACGAGATTAAATATTTCACTTTTATAAGTCCAAAAATCTTAATATAATTTTGAAAGTATAATATCTAAAATATTAAAAATAACTAATTATAAAGAATAATATATAATTAGCTTATAAATAAAGACATACTTATAAGAACAATTTAGAAAGATATTAATGATCTACATATGAAGCCGGATACTTTGACATTGGGTACATGGCAATGGCAGGGAGATGAATCAATTCTTGATTTATTATCTCAAAATAAAAACTGACAAAATTGCATATATAAGATACCCCTTCAGACTTACTCTTTTCATATATTTCTTTCAATAATACTCGTAATCATCCATGTTTCAATCTTCCAATTCCATTTCCACCGCTCAATGTTTTTCTCTTTCATTTATAAGAAAGAAAGGTGGAGGCGTCCGCAACAAAACTTGGTCAACCTTGACACCGAAGTCAGACGACCAGGCAACATGACGAACAAAGCTAAGGTCAACTTTGGACACCCATTCAGCTGCACCACTGCAGTCCCAACGTATACTAATAACAGTGAAACAGTAATTTTCCCTCGTACAGTCTACCAATTCATTGACAAATTAAAGTGCAGCCGTACATGACACGGCCTTGTTTCCATTCTTTTGTGGCCATCACATGATGCAGGCCAAGATGGACTTGAATTCTTTCGCTGACCCAAGACTCGATGATCAAACCATTACTCTGAACTGCTCGTGGAAGACGGCACAAGTTCTCACCCTCCGAAAGGGTCAGATGACTGCTTGAGGTTAAGTTCTTCCTCCGTATCCACCGACATACACGAGTGGCTATTGGAGAGCCACAGGTTGGGCCCATCGTTTCACGGTACTCGCGTTGGTTTTCCGAGTCTCTTTTTCTTCGATCAATTCCTCCTCCCACGCCGTCTTCTTCCCGGCTACCATCCTCCCATCTACGACCATCGACGGTTGACTTCCTGCAGCAAGTGGGCTGCTCTCTCTCGCTCTCTTTATATAGATAGATGGATTCGTTTCCGATCTCTTCTCAAGCATCTCTGGGACGGCAGGAGGAGAGAGAAGGAAGAAGATGAACTGGGTGAGCCGAAAGGTGCATCTGTACAACGTGACCATGGGTCTGTACATGCTCGACTGGTGGGAGCGCTGCCTCTTCAGTATCCTTCTCTGTTTACCTTCATCCACCTCCGTCTGAAACACCCAATTCATCTCCCTAAACTTCATCTCTCTTTTCCTAGGAAAGTTTTGCGTACTTCATGTCACTGCATCAAACAGATCGACTTGCTTTTTTTCGTTCACTCAGTTTATTACATGATAAACAATTGTGCTCGACTGCTGTTTGTCTTAACTTTGGTAGATATATTGATCCTTACTTTGCTGTGGTTCATCTGCCACAACGGATCTCGATTTGCCACGGACTTGTACGATGGGTAAGTTTTAATGCTTATTGTCTATTTATGTTCGGTTTTGTTTGCGGGAAAAGAAAATAAACCCTATGCTGTAGATTTTATTTTTATGTAACTTCATGACATGAGAATTATTGCAAATTTGTATTTGGATAAAATGAAAGAGCCTTAGTAAATGAGATGAGATGCATTTTAGATCAGGGCAGAAACTGGATTCTGAAAAGATATATGGTATTTTCATATCATATAATGTTATGCATTTCTTATTAATTCTTTTTCTCTTCGGTTAATTATTTCGTGAATCCTTTAACAATCGTATGATTATCTTCTTTTTGCTATTTTTTTTCTTCCCTGCAATTGTTTACTTTTGTTGTATATATATCACAGTAATTGATTTAAACAAAATAAATATGTATTGTTTTCTCTTTTATTAAAATAGATATTGTTGTGATCAATTTATATTCATATGATTCATAACAACAAAGCAAATGCTCCTCGACAAGTATGAATTCTCTTTTCCCAATTTGCTAACATCTCATTTGGTACTGAGATTTGAGGCCAACATATATCGACAACATTCAATACAGAATTTTTCTTTTTTCCCCCTTCAAAAATTGACATGATATTTTTCCTTTTTCTTTTAGGAAAAGATATATTCCATATATTTCCCAGTTCAATGCACTTAGTGTTGAGAACTAAATAGTAATAACATTTCCTATGGAAGACACCTCCCCAGTTGTCTGTACATCTGCTAAAATTGGATGAAACTGCCTCTTTGTTTAGTGACCTGGTTTCTTAAATTGATGAAGGTTTTCAACCATGATACTAAATTTTGATGTACCTCAATGAGTTTATTTGTTTGTGTCTTTTTTTTTAACCATTTTTTATTTCTTCCTTTTGTATCTTTCAGCCATCTCAAGTCTAAACTTGTGTTTAGCAGCAGCTTCCCAACAGGAGGGAGCACAAGAATGTAACAGCCTAGCTGGAAAAAATGGAACATCTTTCTTCTTTGTTTCCAAGAAAACAATGATTGTGTATTTCAGTTATAAAATGAATGTAGAAAGTATTTTAAGAATAGTGTATGTGTTTGCATACATAAAATTCACTTTACAAAAAGTGCATGCTGGTAGTTTAATTTTACTATCTATATATAATCAAGCTGAATTTGTTTGTATGTGTAAAATTCCAATAATGTGTCCATATTAATGTTGAAGAGAGTAAATTTTGGACAAAAACTTCTGCTTTGTCTCTCCCGCGAACCTCCATCATCACTTGCAGTCCTGACGATCCTTCTCTCTCTCTCTCTCGATCGAACGAAGACAATCCTTAAGTATATATGATGAGATTTATGGAACAACAAATCACTAATTTCAAAGGAATGCTTTTCCTCAAGTAAAAAGAATCGAATATAAATTCTTCATTGACCAAACAAATTTATCAACTGTGGGTAAGATCGTAGTTAATTGCGAATTAGAAAAATAGGCATAAATGCAAACAAATCCTTGGTTGAAGTAATGATATTGTAGAAATGAGGCCACAGTTTTTCTCCCCTTGCTTTTTAATTGGTCACTCTCAGTAGATCGGGTCTATCATCCAGTTTGCAAGACAAACTCCATACCACTCAAAGGTGAGAGATCTATCGAAAACAGTGACAATTTTATGCACACTGTTAAAGCTTGGACAAAAAGAAAGCTACTGACCAACAAACACAACGTGGATGCATTAGCCATATCCTCTCTGTTATAATGCGCATAAGAACTTTCGATTCATGTACAGCTAATATATATATATATATATATATATATATATACATATATGAAAGCACACGACGGTGGTTGCAGCTTGCAGGACCAGATGTCGGTGGCATGTCACATGTCCCCTCCATTATCATGTTCTCACGCTTCATGTGAGTTGGCATTTTCTTGTCATAATATTTTACTAGGTTGGATGTAGCCAGACACATTTGTTAATGCAGTGTTTACTTCTCATATTCATCCTCAGTCTATTCATGTGACTCCTGCTGCAGAGTTGGAAAAGAAGAAGGGTGAGCATCCATTACCAAATGGATCTGAATTTAATGCATTGCACAGATGCTATGACTTCAAAGAGGAGAACAAGTGAGATAGTATGTCATAAGCCTGTCTTCCTTAACCACAAATTGTGTAGTAATACAACTTGGAAGTACTATAAGTCACACACAAAACATTTACAGTTCTTATTTGCTTCAGAAAAGAATAACAAGAACAGTAGCACAAAGAACAATTCCATGATTGATAGCAGAAGAAATCATCTTCTGAGAGACTGTTTGCTGACTGTAAACCGGCTTGTCTCGCATCAGACATTTCGATTCTATACGGATCTCTTCTTGTCAAGTGGAAGATTTCTGACAGCAAAAGCGGATAGATCATTGCAGGCTCGTAAATTTCTGCACCCGAAAGAAAAAGGAATAGAATATATAGCACGGATTCGGTAGTAAAACACACGCAGATCACAGTAGTAGTTTCCGAGCCACGACTCTTCATTGCTCTTCTCGCTTCCCGTCGTCGAAGTTTTGCGCATAGCTGAACGAGTCATACCTAAATCCCTGTGTGGTCGGAAGAGTAGTGTTGGATCGAACGAGCTTCCTGGCCTCCGAGCGCAGCTTGTAGAAGATGTGCTGCCAGCTGCCCTTGCTGTGGCACCCAAGCAGGGCTGTCTCCTCCTCGTTCATCTCAATGTCCTGCGCGAACGCCGGCTTCTTGGAAAGGACCCACCCCCACCATCGATCCCACCACCTCCTCAGAGGACCGCCGGCGAACTCGCCGATGGACGACATGGACTTAGACTTCCTGAAGACCCAGTCGGAGGAGGCTGTGGACAGGGGCTGGATCTTGACCGAGTAGGAGGAGATCCTCTTCCTTAGGCCTATGAGATGGGTGTCCTTCTGGGCTTGGAAGGTGGGGAGGTCATCCTGGTAAGGCATGGTGGGCAAGAACCTTTTCTTTTGGAGAATTTCAAACAAGGAGCCCATGGTTGAAGCCGGAGAAAGAGAGGAGGAGGAGCTTCTTGTCTCACTCCTCTGTGTGGTTCTTGTGCATTTGGTGGCACTAAAGAGAAGAAAGGGAAGACGTCGATTGGGGGAGCTCTTAGCTAAGTTGACAGGCTGGTTATGTTTGTGCATGGGGTGGATGGGGGGCCATGAAGAGCTTTAATCTCTGTGCTGGAGGAATCTCTTTTGATGATTTCTGAGAAATCTTTACTGATCTCATATCAACATCAGTATTATCAACATCTCTAATGATTCTTGTCCTTCTTAATTTTGCTTTCAGCTTAATGGACAGTAATGTGGTGTCGGTCACCAGTTCATTAGGGTAGATGCCAACAACTCCTTTGGTTTGACACACACCATAACCTACGTGGTCTATTCTTTTTTGTTATTTATTTTAGTAGAAACGTGTTGACTAGTAGAATTTATAATAAATATATTTTTTTATTTAGTATCCCAATAGATGATATAAACTCTTTATTTTTCTTATAGTTTGAAATTTATCTTACTAGTGAAAATATTGGTTTATGAATGAAGAGTTTTATCTATCTTGACCCAGAATATTTTCTACATAAATCTATGCTGCTTATAAATACTTTAATTTATTAAATTTTTTGCTTGTGAATGCTGGCTTTGGTGCCATCATATACTAATTTTATTTATTTATTTTTTTTTGTAGAGAGTAAGTGGTGAAAGTGAATTTTGATTCCAAGATCTTGTGATGACCTAATTAAGTCTTTACTAGTAAATCTAGTGCACTAAATTTTAGTATGTGTATTTTATTTAATTTACAATAAAAAGAAATAAGTATGGTGCTTATTTCTTCCTTTTGTTGATTAGGCTCTTTACCAACAAAGTGTAATTAAATTTTGGGTAATTGGGTACATTATTATACTTACCAAATGGATGATTGGAGTAACAGTACATTTATAGATTTTTAATGTAAATCCATTATCTTGTGTTTGTAGATGTTTTATTTTATTATTATTATTTGTTTAATTGATTCACCTAGTTGTTGCAATATACTGATACTTTGATTCCTCTATTTGTGTATGGCCTTTTCCCCAAAAAAAATAAATTTCCTTGTTCTTATTGATCTAAATAACCTTTCCAAAACAATTTAGTTTCATAAATATATACATGAATTGGTTATTTATTTGGTCAAAAGCTATATATACATTTCAAAGGACCTTTAGGAGAGGGGTCGATTCTGGTGTCCCATTTTGGTAGCATCTCCTCCTCAGCAACATCAGAATTCCTTCTCCTTTGCCGACACTTGTGGGGGTAAGTGAGTCTCCTATAGGCTTGCAAACATTAGGTGCTAAATCGACCATCTATCTGTCGTTCATGTAATGTATCCTCTGCAGTGATGGAAAGTGACGCTGTGTAAGAAGAATGAAGCCTTCTTCTTTCGACGAGAACAATGCAGTGTGACGTCTTCAGTTCACCGTATGTTGATTCTTCCTTCCTATGTTCAATCAAAACCCTATAGAAATGTTCTATCAGGTATGAAGGGATTCAGCAGCAAATTCTTTTATAACTAATTAATAATAAAGTTGATGATGTTTGTTGGACGTATTTTAGATTTGATGTTATTCACTCCTATAAGTAATAAGAAGATGCATATGATGGGATAAAAAGAGAACTATGTATACGAACAAATACAAGTAGATCGTAACACGTAGCGGAATTAAATAAAAATCATAGTCAAATAGAACACTAAGATTTATATGAAAAATCTCTTCAACATGAAAGATAAAAATCATTGGGCAAGTCAGAGAAAATTCACTACAAAAAATAATGAATATACAAATCTTAAAATCTATTACCCAAAACTCAAGTGACAATTACAATAAAATAACTGTCATATTAGGATCACGTCACTATGCACAATAGTCTTTGTAGTGTCATTGTCTTCTTCTCTTTCATTCCTTTCATGTTTTTCTATATTTTTTCTCTTTTACTGAACCATGTTGCTATAATTTTTTCGGCCAAATTCGCAGCCACCACTATTCACTTTTTTTTTCTTAGCCATCACACCTATGAGATAGGGTTTTGATTAGAGAAAAGTAAGTTATGGGTTAATAAAACCTACTATGGACTGAACTAATAGGCTATCTGCCCAATAACATGTTTTTTTGGGAGGAAAATGTTCGATAGTGAGAGAGATGTGTGTGTTTAGGAATCCAAATATATGCATGAATATGAATTGTTTCACCTCTATAATTTCTAAATTGAATGTGTTGAGTTATGATTTATAAGTATTTTTAAATTTCTTATTCTAATATTATTTTAAAAAGAATTTTAGTATAAAATAAAATTTATGATAAAATTAGTGTTTTGTTATTCTATCTTATGTTTCTTTATATCTTTCTGATAGATAAGATGTGAGAAAATATCTTATGTATTTTTAAATTTCTATCCAACTAATTAGAAAGGATGAGAAAAAAAAGATAAATTTTTTTGATGATTTTATGCTTGAGTTGGTTAACTAAATGATTTTTCATAAACATGCAAAAGGAGCATCAAACCATATAATCTTGATATATTTTTTAGTTTATTGATCCTTGATTTCTCCTTTGGTTTAAAGTTCTCTCCCAACATAATCAATCCTTCTGTTTGATTTTTAAAAAATAAGAATAAAGTCTAAAACAAATCTAGTGTTGACATCTATTTTTGAAATATATATGTATATATATGTGTATATATGTATATATATACACATATATATACATAAATATATATATGTATACATATATATACATATATATATGTATACATATATATACATATATATATGTATACATACATATATATATATATGTATA